TTTAACCTCTTCCTGTGTTACAAAAGCTGTTTCTTCCAAATGATTCTGTAAGCTACGAAACAAATGGTAGTCTGAAGGAGCAAGATCGGAAGAATAAGGTGGATGAGGAAATTTCTCCCAACCAAGTTCTTCGATCTTTTGTGACGTGATTCTTGCTCTGTGGGGTCGCGCATTGTCCTGATGAAACATCACCTCTTTTCGATTCACTAGAGCAGGTCTTTTTTTCCCTCAAAGCTTGGCTCAAACGCTCTAATTGCTAATAGTATATTTAAGCATTAATTGTTGCATTAGGTGGTAAGAATTCAAAGTGGATTATTCCTTGGTGATCCCACCAGACTGAAAGAAGAACGTTTTGCCCATGAAGTTCCCTTCTCGCTTGTGGCTGGGGTCCTTCCCCTTTACCAAGCCACTGTCTACGACGCTTAACATTTCGATAAAAGATCCATTTTTCGTCGCCAGTCACAAGTCTATCCAAAAAAGGTGAAACAAGTTGGCGAGAATGGAGAGAAGAGCAGATGTCAACTCGGGATTTGAGGTTGTTTCAGACAATTCATGAGGTACCCATTTTCCAAGTTTAGGAACTTTTCCAAGTTGTTGAAGATGACGATGAACAGTTGTATGGTTTGAACTGAGAACTACTGCCAATTCCTCAACTGATAAAGCAGGATTTTCTTCAAGGGCTGCTTCAAGAAGCTTTTCAGAAAACACATCTGGACGTCCGGTTCGATCTTCATCTTCAAGGGTGAAATCTCCACCTCTGAATTTTGCAAAACCATCTTTTGCAATTCTTTTATTCACACATTCCTACCCATAAACTGAGTGAATGTTTCTAGCCGCTTCGGCTGCTGAGTTTCCTTTCTTGAACTCATAAAGCATTATGTGCCTCAAATGATTCTTGGGTACTTCCATATTAGCAGGGTTTTAATCAAACAAAATTTAATTTTATTGTTCTCTGAAATAAAATTTGATCAGTTTAAATGCATCTAATCATAAAAATAATGTTCAGCTCCATTAGACATTATAAAATACTCTTTAAATTTCGTTCATTTTAACAAAAAGTTAAAATTCGGACAGAACTTATGGGATGACCTGATATATAAAAGTGAATTTGTACATTTTTTTGTTCTTGAGAATTGACGACAAAAATAATAAATACGATTTATTTATTAGATTGTTTATTTACACTATTTAATTGTTATATTATTTATTGAAATGGTTGGCAAAACATCAACTAATTGTCAATGTATTCAAACTTTATAAAATGGTAAATAATAAGGATTTATTTATAGCTGCTTCTGAGTTTCGGACATATGAAGGAGACTTTCCGATCAATGGGTCAATTATATCTACAAGGAAGCGACTCAGAGGGTGGCACACAGAGCCTTGGCAACTAACAATCGGCCTGAACGGAATACCGTCTTTGTAAATCGTAGGGAGACCGTATATGTGAGGTAGTTTGGTGTAACGCTGCGATATCTGCCTATACGTCTTAGGTGCGAAATGACCCTTGTTCTTGATTACAGCTGGTTCCCATATTATAATAACTAGCCGACAGCATTTAAGCTAGCTTCTTCAGAGGGTTCTTGATTGGGACTTCATCACAATAGGTATAGAATGCGATAGAATAAACTATAGAACTCAAAATTGATTGCTGCATTTAGGTATTGCATTAATATTTAAACCTACCTTTTAAAAGTTCAACGATAATTCTTAAGTTAAAGACAATTTGATGTACTTTCCGTACAAACAATTATTTTAATTATTCTTTTAATGATAAAGGGATTAAATAAGAGATCAGTAATTACGATATGATGAGGTGAAATAATTTAGAAAGATTAAAAATGAGGGGAAAGTGAGAAAAAAAATAAGAAAATTGTAAATAAAAATGAAAAAAGGAGAGAAATAAAAAATAGATAGAAAAACAAGCGAAAGAGAAGGAAAGGGTAGGGAAAACGAAGAAGAGGAAAGACACAAATGTAAATGAGATGTAACAAGGGGCAGTGAGTTTGAAACAGACAATGAGCGATAAAGAATAGGGGGAATAAATATGAGGTGACAGAAAGAGAAAAGAAGACAATATGATGGTTGATTTTATATTGCACATTTCCGGGATTACATAGATAGATAGATAGATAGATAGAAATAAAATAAAGGGACATAGATAGATAGATAGATAGATAGATAGATAGATAGATAGATAGATAGATAGAAAATAAATGGACATAGATAGATAGATAGATAGATAGATAGATAGATAGATAGATAGATAGAAATAAAATAAAGGGACATAGATAGATAGATAGATAGATAGATAGATAGATAGATAGATAGATAGATAGATAGATAAATAGATAGATAGATAGAAATAAAATAAAGGGACATAGATAGATAGATAGATAGATAGATAGATAGATAGATAGAAAGAAAATAAATGGACATATATATATATATATATATATATATAGATAGATAGATAGATAGATAGATAGATAGATAGATAGATGTCATACTGATGTAAACCAGATAGATAGATAGATAGATAGATAACTATAGTTCAATGATAATTCTTCTTCTGACACTTAAGTTAAAGACAATTTGATGTACGTAGGTCCTTACTTTCCGTACAAACAATTATTTTAATTATTCTTTTAATCCATTTTCCTACAATCAAAAATATTTAAATACAGAAATTGGTTAAAATACAATTATTTCCCAGCAAACATCATATATATTTAACAATATACATAATCACTAGATTAAAAGACGCCCTATCGGGCAGCATTTAAGCTAGCTGCTGCGGAGGGTTCTTGATTGGACCTTTGGCTTGTTCAGGAGTTTGAGAGTCTCTGCGTCTTTGCATATACTCAGTATTGGAAGCTCTCCTGGCTGCAGTTTCCTCTGGGTTTTCATTTGCGCGGGATTTTCTTTTCCTCGTTACAGCCTTTATCCGAGGCATATTGTTTCTGTATGAGATAGGCAACAATAAACTACAAAAAAACTCAAAATTGACCGCAGTATTTAAGTATTGCATTAATAATTAAGCTTACCTTTTAAAAGTTCAACGATATTACTTCAGTCGTCACTTAATTTAAAGACAATTTGATGTACGTAGGTCCTTACTTTCCGTTACAAACAATTTATTTTTATTTCATGGGTGACTTTCGCTGGATTTCGCAATTGATTTCGATTATTCCCAAATTTATTTCCAAGTTATAAAAAATGTTATCATATAAAAACATGCGTCGCAAAAATTACGTAAAAAAAATCGCAGTAATGAAAACTTGAATACAACTTGAATCCAAAATTTCAGGATTGCAGGTCCGGACCTGGCCGAGAAGTTTTTTTTAATTTACTTACGGCGTCGGCCTGATTCCAAAATGGTATATGTTGAGCTCTGGCCTCTTGGAGTAAATTTGAAAAAGTGTGAAACACTGACACACTGACATTATCATTTATTACAGTGTAACCCGGATATAAGAGAGTTGTCTGGATCGGAGAAGAAGTCTCTTATATCCTGGTTTCTCTTATATCCGGGTTTGGTCTATTTTATATACATTAACACAGGCTCTAATTTGGGACCAGAGAAAATCTCTCTTATATCCGGGTTTCTCTTATATCCGGATCTCTTACATCCGGGTTACACTGTATATGGATTTAGTAACTGTTTATAAATTTATGAATAAAAATCTATTTCCGCATTTAATTATTTATAAATTGTTAAATGATAGATACTGCATTAGTTTCAATTGTATTAGCTTTTTTTAGATTGTTGTAAATATAAAATTATTCTTGTAAATAAATACTGTAATGAATACGTAATGTTTAATATTTTGTAAATTCTCGAGAACAAAAAAAATGTATAAATTCACTTTTATTTTGTGTTTAGGTTTTATTATAATTTATCGCTTTTTAAAACAATAAATATTGCTGAAGAGTGTAAGCATAATACCGGTGTCATTGGAAAAAACGTCCTTTTGAAACTACGTCTTATTGCGAGCACGTTTATCCATGTTTGCCGATAATGCATGTTCTCTTTAGCTTATTTTATGGGGTGTGGTCTTGCATTGTCATTCTAGAAGATGTCACCCGTTTTACTGGCCAAGATTTGAAGGATATATTTTTTCCTTTATTTTTCTTCTTTTTTTTTTTTTTCTTTCCCGTTGAGTTCGTAGGCAGTAAAGATTTGCTTTATTCCAAGAATTGAACTTGCGCACGACATCGCGATCCCACATTCGGCACTGATCGCCACTACGTTGAACACGCATCCACAAAACGGCAAAGTCGTTTGCTTTCTCTTTGGCAGGAATACTTTTGGGAACGGAGCGAATCTATCACTCCACACAGCTACGGTATAAACAACGGGGAAGATTGGACGCGTCAGCCCTGGCTGACTGGCAACCAGTTTAAGAGAATGTTAACTCCGAATACAAAACCGTTTGGCGACGGGCCTGCAATTTCATCCCTTAAAATAAAAACCCCAATTTGCTACAGAAACCATATGAGCAACACCATACTCCATATATGGTAAGAGAAGGACTCATCTCTCTCTCTCTCTCTCTCTCTCTCTCTCTCTCTCTTCTCTCTTTCTCTCTCTTCTCTGCGACAGAAACCATATGAGCAAC